ACATCCTGCGAGGTTCATAAAGGATCAATGCATAATGTAGCCAAGGATGTACGGGAACGCGCAGAAAAAGAGCGAGCGGGACGCATTTCTTGCTGAAATGGATTTGCAAAAAAAAATGATGACCCTATTTATTGCTACAGTTCAGTTTGTATATATCTTCAATGCTTCGATGATCATGTGCCGGACAGACTTTTGTTTGTGTGTATCTGTATGAGTAGTGGAATCACGTTACTCCGGTTTAAGTGGTTTTCAAAAGAAACAAAGATGTGTCTGGATAGTTGTGAAATTATATTAGTTGTGACTGGATTTAACAAGTCTAAATCAGTTTAATCATAACATATACTAACCATTGCTGAAGCGTTTGCCTGACATTTTGTGAACAAAATAGTGAGATTTTCAAAAATGGTAAGAACTTACTTTTATTCATCAATGCAAACATTCTCTTTCATTGTATTATGTTTACATAGAATTGTGCGCCTAAAATAGATTTCAAACCTCCTATTTTATACGAAAATAACGACTGAATGATACAGTTTACTTACACATAGATCTGCTTTCAGTATGCATTCTTAGCAAGCGTCTCATGTTCAGTTTGTTATTTCCATATCGAAAGCATAGTGACTTTGAATTCCAACTCAAGGCAGTTTGATACCTTTATTTACTTTTGAAGCTTACATCCCTTAGATTTAAACTTATTTTTCAAAATTCACCATTTAGTTGAATGAATATATACAGTTACGTATTTGGTATGTCCCGGCCTTGGGCCAGAACCCATTGCCTTCCTTACCTAGTCGAACGCTCAAAATTCAAGCCAAAAGTGAGGTGTTGCCAAGCAAGGCGCTAGGAAATAAAAGGTAGTTAGAAATAGAAGGAAAGATAAAGATCCCAAATATTGCAATGGATGCAGCAGATTTATTTTGGTCGGTTTTTTGTCCCCAAAAAGAGGACACCAAAGCAAATCCCCAATTTTGTAGGGGTTCCCTCATTATTCGCCTGTGGGTAACAGCAGGCGTATTCTTTTCCCGACCCTCATAGCTGCAGGGGTGATAAACTGTAAAATGTGTGTAAAATAATCATACTTTGAGCGAGAGGGTCTGTGGTATCCATCGTTACAATGACGTAGTTATGATTAATGTCGTCTGAATTCGGCAGAGGTATATACTGACATTGTCATAGATTGGTCAACATAAATCAGTACAAGAAAATGACAACATTGTTTGATACAAAAGGAGATTGAGAAAAGGCATAAAATATGGGATCTATGCAAATAGCTTCAAAATTGAATCAATAGTGTTAATGCTAAATAAAAATGTGGTTACCAGGCTACAATAAGTCATGTGGTATGTAGTTTTAGATGTTGTGGTACCAAACAAAGATAGGAGTACTAATATTAGCTTGTTAATTTGTTAGTAGTAGCACGGACTTATATAGTCTAAATCCGTGGTAGTAGCTAACAAGTTCGTTGTTGATCAGGCAACGACAAAAAGAATAATAATTACTACCATTGTTCTCGTTCCTGATCAGAAAATAATCATATATCTACGGTTATCTGCACGCTTGAATGAAGTTGTGTACGGGATGAGAGCGTACATGAACACGTTGTGTATTCGTATTTTCTTTTGATGATTTGGCAGCAAACTCTTGGCGTGATGTTGTAGTAAGTAAATGTACACAGTTTTTGTTCGCAGTCCATGTAGCGTGTACATTACCACTATACCACTATATTTGCATATAAAATTGCGCATTTGAATGAGGTTGTTTACAGAATGCAAACATCCATAACACCTTATGTCTTGTTTTTTTCTTGAAATGTTTAGTTTGCCTTGCTTAGTTGTAAAATTCTTCTTCTTTTAATTTTGTAGTACAGATTTTGCTATTGACTTTTTGGGATTGTTATGTTTAATTGTGCAATTTTCTTAAACTCTCCATACATATGTCATGTCTAATGTTTACCTTTAAACTTAAAGGGTGTCCTATTTTGAGGTTCAAAGCACGTTCAAATCACGTGTTGATCTAATGTAACGGGTTTTCACATATTATGATCAATTTAAAAAGCAAATAAATATGTGAAAAATGTTAAATAAAATAGATACCTTTTGTATGTACTGCAGGATATATTTTTTAAATTTTAAAACAATTGACGCTTAAAGTTCACCTTTTTGACATAAGATTTTTCACTTAAATCGTTTTTTTACTGTAGCAAGTTAACATTTTGATGTTTCAATCATTTGTAAATGTTCACTATTATCAAAATAAATTGTAACATTGTGGCAAATTATATGATATTGGTATTTCATGACTTTTTTAATTTTACTGAAGCTCTGTTTCTGAAAAGAAACTGAACCCACAAAACGTGAAAAAAATCCACAGGAAAATAATGGCAAAAACAAAAGCAACCGACTCCCCTCCTTTTTTTTATACTGGTTTAGGAAGAAAATGTATAAAAAGATGTTGAGTTGTACAACTTTATGTAAATTGCTAAATCTGCAAAAACAGTAGAAGAAAATGCTAATTTAACAATTGTGAAAGATTCAAAGATATCTGATACCACTATTGGAAGCTTTTGGATGAATTTTTCCTGCATCAGGTCGAAACAAATTTCAGCAAGATTTACACATTTTTTTAAATCGGAATCTTTGACCTAACATAGCACAAAACGAACACATGCAAGAAGCCCGAAGGGCCTGTATAAATCACCTGCATAATAAGCAACCATGGAAAAATATTCTCAATATAATATTTCACTGCAACTTTTAGCCAAATATTAGCTCTGTGTCTAAACACACATGTTCTTCTATTAAACATTAGCCTCGATTTCCCCTATTGGGCCCCGCCCCTCTGCTCTCGGAATTGATTCAACAATTGCTCTACATCAAATTTGGATAAAAATTCAATTTTTACAGAAGTAGAAAGGTTTTAAATAATTGAAAATATCCCTTCATACTCCTCTGCCTCCTGAGGGGCAAACTCTCCATTCATAAAAATATCCCCTTTGAAGAGAGATGCTTTACACCAAATTTCAGGACAAAAAAATCAATAAGTAAGAAAGAGTTATCCTTATTGTACCCTGTCCTTCTACCACTAGAGGGGTCAGACCCTCTATCTATACAAATGAAGTCCACTTTTCAATGAAGTTGACACAAAAATTGGTTAAAATTCTAATATTCTAATGGAATGATTTTGAACATTTATAATAATGTTCCCCCTAATGGGCCTCGCCTCTCTGCCCCTTCGGATAGGTGAGCTAATAAAGGAAGAGTTTCAGAGGGATGCATCCTTAAATGACGTGATTCAACGGTCCTTCCTCAAAAAGATATTAAAGCAAACAAAAGGGCCACAATTAAATATACTTAAATATCCAACGAAAATTGTCAAAATATACATGAAAAGCGTCAACGTCTTATACCTTAACGGCCCATGTATGACCTTCCCGTACCTTATGTGTTTACTTATGGCAGTCTGGCGAACCCTTCAGTGTAATCTTGTTTTTTGATAAGATAACAGTTGAAAAACCTGTCGTGAATGTCTTACTGAAAAGCATGCAGAAGTACTCAATAGCCAACCTTATGTCGTGTTTGTCCCCTTTTTGAGAATTTGTAAGACGAACTGGGCAGATAGAAGGGCCAGAAAGCGTGCGAACGTCACAAACATCTTCACTCACCTAACAAGGACCCTGGATAAACTAATCTTAGTTCAAAAGTTATCCAAGCAAACGCTATCTGTGACAATAGCACGAAAATTGTCAGAATTTTATATAACTATATAATTTAACAAGAGGCCCAATGAGCCTTATCGCTTACAAGAGTTCAAATTGAAAATATCTCATATTTCACAGGCAAACTTTGTCTGCCTCATCTGTTAAAACTACCAACCAAATAGTATTATATGATTCTATGCTTTTTAGTTCTTCTTCAGAAGTTGTTTGACATATTTTTCCCCGTGACCTTGTAAGTAGGTCAAGGTCATTTTCCTTCTAAAACTTTATTTGCTCTATCCCAAGAAGCTACCAGCCAAATCTTATGAATCCATTCCTTTTGGTTCTTCTTCAGAAGTCGTTTGAAATGTTGTTGACCTCTTTGACCTTTAACGTAGGTTGAGGTCATTTTCATTTGCAAACTTTGGTGATCTCTATCCCAAGAAGCCACCAGCCAAATATACAGATTATATACATTTTAGTTCTTCAGAAGAAGTCGTTTGAAACGTTTGACATAATTAACTGCTGTGACCTTGAAAGTAGGTCAAAGTCATTTTCATTCTCAAACTTTGTTGGGCTCTTACCAACGAAGCTTTCAGCCAATTTTCATGACTCTTAGAAGTCGTTTAAAGTAAAAGTTGACAGACGACAGTGGATGACAGACGCTGCGCCAAATTATAGAACACTGCACCAGTTATATTGTCCTTCTTGGACTCATCGGCGATACATGGAGCCAAAAAGGTGAAAACCCTGATTAGTCTAAACTACTGATGACCCAGAATGGTGTGTGTGTAAGATTAGAGAGGCACTTTATGGCAAGTCCACAGATTTTGTTTGATTTGTAGGGTTTAATGTACATTCAATAGCTAAGTTCATTTAAAAACGTGGCTTCATGTGTATTGTATATGTGTGTACGAGTGTCGAAGGAGGGTATGTTGGTGTATTTGCCTCCTTGTGATGCTGACTTCATAGTGACATCTCACTGAAACATCATGGTGAAGGTACCCAGACAGCATTCTAACCGGTCACACTATACTCCCAACAGGTGAACCATTTGTTGCCATTACCCTTAATGTTTAACGTTCAGAAAGGAATAACAACTACTACATCATTAACCGTTTCACCCCTATGTAACTTTAGTAGACTCTAACATGCATTGATATGGATGAGTCCATTATGGTCTACAGTGGTGAAAGGGTTAAAGCCAAAAGTGAGGTATGGCCTAGCAAGGTGTTAGGAAATAAAAGTTAATATTTTTGATGGATATTGATGAAAGACAAACCCTTTAACTGGTTAAGTAAAGGAAATTTATTGCTGGATATTTTTGATTTAAAAAAATAAAAATAAGAAGAAGAATTCAACAATGATAGTCTCTAAAAATCACACTAAAAGAAAATGTCTCAAATTATTTGACCAATCTTCAACTAGAAAACAATCAGTATTAAATTTACATTCCAAAATCACTTGGTGACATTAATATCTTAACATTGTAAGTTTTATTTCCTACAATTTAAAAAATGTAATTTCTTTCAACAATGTAAAACATATTCTCCATCACATTTGAGTCAGTGTTACACATGGTCAAAGTAGGTTATGGCCAGGATTCATTGGATAATATGACACAGTAATCTATTTCTTCTTCTGAAATGTCACTAATCGATACACATGATCAATGTACATGTAACACAAGCTTATCAGACAAACAAATGCAGTAGGATAATGGAAGGCCAGTGCCGTATTGCAATATCACACATCTCCAGTGCAACAGTTTACTGCCATGTAAACCAGCACTATATTTACAGGCAGAATAACAGAAACTCACAAAAACATTGTGTTATATAATTATGTTTTATGTATTTAATATTTGAATCAAAACAAACTCTGACATCAACTCAAGAAAACATAAAGACACTAAAGAAAATGTCACGGAAGTCATTGGAATATGAAGTCTTTGAAAATTCCCTTCGATCAATTACAAATAATACACAAGGTACGCAAAGTATTTTACTTGTAATAAGCTTGGGAAGGGAACTACTCCACAGAAATGGGTCAACCTGGTATTGGGGTCCTCCAATACAGGCATGGTCTATAAAATCTGTTTAACAAGGGGGTGGGCTTATCAGCAAACATGACGTTATGACAAGTAAAATACAGTGTTTATATAGAAGGACTTTGCAGAAACTAAATAAAGACTGAAATGAAACATTAATTACAACTAACATTATTTTGTGTAATATGATGCAAAAGCAAAAGTTAATACCTGAAAGATAAAAGAAAGTCCTATTTATGAAATTTCTGTCAGGCTATTGGCAATATCTGGTACTAGTATTGTTCCAATGATCAATTATAAAGAAAAATAGATTGATTACAAAACTGATTCCAATTAATCGATTGTGAAGTTATATAATTGATTCGTCAGGTGAAGTTTTCTATAGATGTTGGCTGATTATCAGTGTAAAATGATACTTTGGCAATGATTTAGAGGCAGATTAATCATTTGCTCTTAATGGATTTCTGGTAAGCTAAATTTAAACAATAAGTGAAGAAAATATCAAGTGAATATGCTATTCAGTGAACCTTTGATCATACAAAAACCAATATTACAATGACATATATATCAAACATATTTTTAATACCAAAATTTAGGTACCGGTAATTTGATTACAACGATAATTGTTCATGAAAGGTCATCATCATCATCAAGTAAGAGATTATGATCACATTTCGATTTCCAACATTAGGATATAATTTCAATTATATAATGTAGTTGATATTGCAGGAGTTTGTTTGCCACAACTGTTTCTATATATCTGTTATAGGCACTGAACATAATCACAGGTTAAATCCATCACTTACATATCTACATATCAAAGACCACAGGGCATATCATAGAAATATCAGTTCTCACTAACTATATAAATAGTAACCAATGAAACACACTGTTTTAGTACTCATTTACCATGATTACTTTCAATATTCTTTACATACATATATATAAGATCTTAAACGAGTTCTGATTGCATACAAGATTTGGAAACCTCATCTCTAACTTATAAAAACAAATATCACATAACAAACCTCTTCAAAGTTTAAAGATGCATTTTTATAAACGTCATATGAAATGCTACCCAAATTCCAAATTAACAAAAATTGGAAAGCGTGTTTTTCGTGGTCATTGCTGAAGTGTAAAATTCCACCATTTTAACTCTATTGTCTTCAATGTGATGCTATAATCATTTTGTTATCATTTATGACGTTACAATGTCATATTTAAAATGTTTATTCACAAAATGTATAACCTGTTCACACTATTAACATAGAAATCATGTTATAAAGGTGGGCTTATAATTCTCCTATAACTGCTATAAGTTCAATCATGCAGCTATTATTCACACAAGTCCATGGTATATATTTTGGATAATTTCTAGGAAATAACATTAAAAGCTAAGATTTAACATTATCAATTACACGTTGTTGGAGGGGGAAAAGTAGTGATGATTGTAATTCAAGTAAAATTGATGAGTTGACTCCTGTAGATCACAATCAACTTTAATACTCCCATGGATATCATTTGTAATCAATAGAGGAAAACCCTCACATTATACGTTGGTACACCTGGTCCATTCAAATGCAATGAAAATTTACTTGACACAAGTCCAATGTGTGGCCAATGTTTTAAAGTGGTCAATCTTAATCTAAAATAGAATGTCTTCTCTAAATAGTTGATCACGGCAGACAAGGGTTCCTCATCAAAATGGTCCATCACAATCAAAATGGGATGTCTTCCCTAGCTTGTCGATCACAGCCAAACAGGATGTCTTTCATGATTGGTCAGGCACAGCCACGCTGGTGTCTTTGTTAGTCTGGTTAATCAAGGTAAAAATAGTGTGTTCTCTGATTGATCAATCAGTCAAGGCCAAATTGCGATAGATCAAAAATCATGAATTAGATGGGGATACCTTCCCTGACTAAAGAGTTGGAAGAATCATCACAGTCCATAACTAATGATTTAACACCTCATGAAATAATAATTCCGTTCCTTTCTTGACCTCAATGTTGATATCCGCAAACTGACTAGGTACTGACCAGCGTCCACTGGACCTTGACCGCTGACTTCAGGACTACCCATACTTGTACACAAGGAAGTTAGGTGTGCCAGTGTACCTGGTTGCTAACTGTTTGCCATCTGGTGTTGGATCAGAGAATGCAATTTGCTTCTTTTCGATGAAAACACCATACTCGAACCATTGCCTAGAGGAGAGAAGTGAAACCATTACCATATTTAACTCTCCTGTAAATAACTTATTTCAGAAGAGATTTGTTTTCACCTGAATTCACAAGAAGCCTTCTAGGTAAATTATGAAGTGACATAAATACTTGTCTAATGTATGCATAAAACATGAGGCTGACATTTGAAAAAAAATAACCTGTGCGCAGTAAACTAAGGCAATTTAATCTGTACACCAAAAACTACATTTGAAGGTAGACACATCACCATTTACACAATTATCAATAGGCCATATTGACCAGACCAGCTTGGTATTTTTTTTTATCTAATGGCTATCATCACTTTATCACATGAGGCCTGATTGTTTAATTGGACAAGCCCGTTTGTCTACTTTTAAAATGTGATATGTATGGGGGATAATGCCCTGTACAGTACAAATATTAAAGTGGGTTTTGAAAGTCTTTGTCAAGGCTCACCAGAAAGCAACATAAGATAACATGTCTACACCTGTTCCATAAACAATGCAGGTTCAACCTGGTAACAATTTGGAATGCAATAAACAAGAGTATCCCACATCATTACCTGACACAGTCCAGCAGTTTGGAGGCAATGCCCTTCTGTCGATGCTGACAGTGGACCCAGATACGACTGACGCCGACTGAGGCTGGCTGAGGCTCAGACTGACAGCACCAAGGGCGATGTCCAGGTTGAGACCCCTGACTTGGCTGACTGTCACCAATCACAGGGTAACCCTGAATCACAAACAAGACTTGCTCATATCTAATTCCTAAATATCTTAGCAGCAATACTTACAAAAGCTATTCTGGAAAAGAAATATCTGACCACAAGACTCCAAAATAGATCACTTGTATTCATGGTTGAGTTCCCTACATATTACTAGGGCTGTAACGATACACCGCGGTGCACCGAACACCGTGCTAAATTGCTTCGGTTTGGTTTACGGTATATTTTTCCGTGTTTCGGTTCGGTTCGGTTTTTAGTATTACCTGACTTCCGGAATTTAACCACACATGTGTAACGTAAACATTTATTATTCTCCAGCGTCACCTACGATGATAATAAAGGTTTTGAAGGGTTTGACACGGTTGATGTGGAAATACTTCGGTGTAACATAATATGTAACTTTCCAATGAACGGCTTTAATTTTGTGCCCTACGCAAACAGGAAAATATCGGCGGACCGAGGCGCACATGTCGTCTGCAGGGGAGGCCGATTTGAACATTGACATTAATACGTTTTGAGCCGATTGATTTCTTCAAACTATATATCGATGATTTAATCATAAACTACACCATAGCTAATATATATATATATATGCCGACTGTGACAGTAAATATATTGAATGATGACTTGAAATCTGTAGCAAATCACATGCAATTCTTGATGAAATACCTGACCTTTTTACCTGAGAATCTCCATGTAAATGTACAGCGTCTTATGTCATAAATGAAATTTAGAATCTCTGTTATCATTTACCAATCACATTTGCTGACAAAAATAATTTTAAAATTATCTTTCTGGTGCTTAAATCCGATTAATTAAAAGTTTCACCTTTTTTATCTTTATTAACACCTGTACAGGTAAACACTGAAGCAACTTTAGAATTGAAAACGTTAATGTAAACTAGAGACAATAACGAACAATTTTCATATAACTTTCATTCACATATAACATATATTTTTCAAGTTATGCAAATTTGAAAAATCTAGTAATTAATTTATATTTCAATAATTAATTCAGCAGTGGTGTCCCTTTCCATAATGTACAATCAATGTAGCAGCACTCTCCACTTGCCACATATATTTCGTAGCTTTAAGTTACAAGTCGGGGAACACATCAAACATGGCGACGCATTTGAAGAGGAAGCATAACAATTCATCATCCTGTATCCTATCAAAATGTATCATATCGTGGGTAGATATCGTGATATGTATCGTATCGTGGCATAGGTGTATCGTTACAGCCCTACATATTACTATGCAAATTATATATATTTAATTCTATGGATGGATACTATATTACAAAACCTAGAGTCCTGCAGTAGGAAAGATGTTTACTGCAATAATCCTTATTAACTAAACATTTCACCTACTCAATTGTCCATTTTGTACTTATTGTCTTACAGAAATTCTTTGAAAAGAACTTTATCTATACAATATATGTGTTCAACAGAAAAAAACATGCTACAGGGCCAGGCTTTGGCTTGAACCCATGGCCTCCAAACTTTAGACACAATCAACCGAGTTCTGTTTACCTAATCATGTATATCTAAGTCAATACAAAAAGCATGAATAGGTGAAGTTACCTGGCTGACATGTTCTGCGACACAGCAACCTTCCACTGTTTTGTCATCAGATATATATAAGAACACCTGAAAAATGGAAACCTAGAGCTGTTAGCATGGACAAATTAAGACATCACATAATCAACCCGAGATAACTTCAACACTCCTGTTACCTACGAAGATTCCCATCAGTGTTTTAGATTAGGGATATTGAAATATGAGTATACAGTATTTGTCAACATTTCGTCAATTTTTCAATTACAGGGATATGATAGGAATATCAATTCTCTACATCTAAAAAGGATATGCAAAGATTCAGCAGCTCAGCTGTTTGATACACTGATTCTATTGTTTTATTGATTTAGAGCAATGTCTTGATTCCAGGAAAAGGTCTAAAACAAATCATGACATCAGTATCAGAATCTTAACACAGTGTATTTTAAGAATGAAACACAATCTTCATTTATGATATGGTCATTAGCAAATTACTATGATACATCTTGTCCATGATACACGATAGCAGCTCTATCTGCAGCTAGGACATGGACCTGGCTGTTCACACATAAACCCCAACCCAGGTATTATTTAGTAAGTGACCTTAAAATTTCCATATTTGCTAAATCTGATTAAAGAAGCATTTATAGTTTTGATATACCGTAAAAACCCATGTAATTTGCGCACCTGTGTAATTTGCGCAGGTACTTTTTGAGGCTGAAAATCGGGAAAAAAGCTTCTACTCGAATATTTTGCGCACCCAAAAAATCTGGAAAAAAAACGATGTTCATGCTCCGAAAATCGATCTCTGAATAAAAAAAATTAAATATATTTCTATGATTTTTTTTTTTCATTGATGTAAAATGATATTTAAAACCAAGAAACTACGTAAAATGTGTATTTTGTTGCTTGTTTTCTTTGAATTATCCGATCATACATGACACACACGTGTGCGCATATCGGCATACATCAGTTCATTTTAGCAATATTTTACATTAACATTTACTTGCCTACAAAAACATATCAATTAATAAGTAATTCGATGTTTAATAACCGCTGGTGCATATCTCCTGGTGAAAGACATAATTAGATACCTTTTATTGATCATAATTACGATCAGTGAGAAGGGCT